GAACTCATGCAGAAGTGGCTTTAGCTTCTCAGTGCTGCGCTTTAACCTCCTGCCCCGGGGAGGGCCCACCAAATTGGATTTTTTTTAATTAATTTTTTTCTTCTAAAAATATGTTCTCTACACCAGTCTTCATTCTGTCCATGTTCCGTCTCGGCTGTGACCCCGTGGACTTCCCACTTCCACTCCCCCACCCCGTGCCATCACCACAGGCCCGTGCGCTCCTCCCGCCCCACAAAACCGGGTGTTTCCGGCCCCTGGCACTCCCAGAGCCTGCCAGAAATGCGCTGCGGGGCCGTGGCTTCTTTCCTGACTCTGCTCTGTCCCGGGGAGATGCTCAGGACGGGCGGGCGTCTCGTATGTTCTTTCCAGCTGTGAAAGAGCCTTTGGTGCAAGAGTAACATGCTTGTTGGAAGGAAAGACGCGGCAGGACGTAGTCAGTCACTCCCCTAGTCTTATTGTTAACTTGATTGTGGGTGGAATGTGTTTTCCTTTCATATTTTGCCTGACCGGTTTTATTTCTTTTGAGAATTTACTGTGGTAGATTTGTCTGTCTCCAGTGGCTTGTATTTTCTTGTTGGTCTATAAAAAATCTTCATGTACTTGGGGAGCTGAGGCCCCAGTCGTGCTTATATGTTGTAACATTTTCCCCAGTTTCTTTCATGCCTTCTGTTTGCGAGGCCCGTGAACGTTTGGTGTCCGACTGGTTAAACGTTTCCTCTGTGGTTTCTGTGGTCTGTGCCACGCATGGGAAAGGTAGCTTCGCTGCATGATCACGAGATCATTTTTCGACTTCCTTCCAATGCTTTTAGTGTTGGGTTTGCTTGTTTTTACTTCGCCTGGAGTTTAATTCTGTGTGGATCAGAGTATAACCTCATTAATTTTCCAAAGGGAGGGCCACGCATGTTTTCAAGGTTAATGCAACCTTTTTATTAATGAGAACGATCCAGTTTAATATACATATTTACATGAAACAAGTGATAACGTTTCCATTATGAGTTCTGATGCCACTTTTTTTTTTAAAGATTTATTTATATATGCACACAGAACTAGGGTACAAGCCAGAGGTGCAGGGGTGTTGAGAGGATTCACCAGGGATAGAGTGGGGAGCAGAACAGGCTGACTGACGAAGTACACTGCTGAGGGGAGCAGCGGGCGGGTCAGGAGAGGTCTGCCACACCATGTGGTCACCTCCGGGGCAGGCGGG